TTTAACACTTAATAATAGAGTTATTAAGTACTTAATAACTTGGTCATTTTTCAAAATAATTTTTACGCCCATCACTAATTGTGACCAACCCCAAAACATAATGAATTTCAAAACTGTGGAACAATGCACACACGGCTTTGCCTACACAGGAAAGTTGATCTCATTTAACGTGATACCTGATGATCAACCTATGTACAACTCACTTCTAAAAATATTAATATCCGGTTTCCAACCCTGATTTAACCATATTTAGTGAGGCATTTGAGAAAATATCTTTTTTTGGAAAATAATGATTTTTTTGAAAATAGTTGGTACATACTGTTTGTGTGTAGTAAAGAAAAATTCATTCATTCACGTAAACAGACAGATGGATACAAAAATAGACAATAATAATGCATTATTGTGTGGTATAATGAATTAAACAAACAAACTTATTTTTTTTCGTAATTCTTCAAGAATGCCAGGATTAAAAAGTCCAAATGAAAAAAAACCTAAATCTCGAAGTTGTAATTTAAAGAAAGTTATTGCTAAACATTCTAGAACAAAATGTTGTTGTTGTATACCAATAAAGCCAGGTGTCATGACCATTGCGATACTTTTGTTGGTAAAAAATAAGAATATTAATATTTTACATCATTATTATTCATAATGTTGTTGGAAATTTAAAAAAGTATTTTTAATGCTAATTATTTATTTTCTAATTATTTGTTTCAGATACATGCATTATGGCATACAGCAATGATGATCCCAGAGATTAAAAGTAAGTGGTTAAGAAAGTGTATGATGCTTGGTTCAATTAAGTTTGTTATTAATTAATTAAATTTTTAGTAGAAAATGACTTCTATATTTTTTTAAAATTTAGGAGGTTTTAGACCGAGCCAACTATATTAATATTAATTAATAATATTATTCCTAAATATAAATATTAATTAATTTCCGGTTTATTTCCAGACCCTGATTTAACCATATTTGATATTTAGTAAGGGGAAATAAAATATATAATAATAATAATAATAATAATGATTTTTTGAAAACATGGTTTGACTGATCGGTCACACGACTTTCCAAGTTTCTATTCTCAGTTATGCACAATGTTTGTAGTACATAGAATTCGAACATCCGAAGAAAATTTTATTCATTAATGTAAACAGATAGACAAATGGATACAAAATAGATCAAACTTACTTTTTTTTCGTAATTCTTCTAGAATGTTGGAATTAAAAAGTCCAAACGAAAAAAAACCCAAGTCTCGAAGTTGTAATTTAAAGAAAGTTATTGCTCAACATTCTAGAACAAAATGTTGTTGTTGTATACCAATAAAGCCAGGTGTCATGACCATTGCGATACTTTTGTTGGTAAAAAATAAGAATATTAATATTTTACATCATTATTATTCATAATGTTGTTGGAAATTTAAAAAAGTATTTTTAATGCTAATTATTTATTTTCTAATTATTTGTTTCAGATACATGCATTATGGCATACAGCAATGATGATCCCAGAGATTAAAAGTAAGTGGTTAAGAAAGTGTATGATGCTTGGTTCAATTAAGTTTGTTATTAATTAATTAAATTTTTAGTATATATAACACATCTACCAAGAGCATTCACGATAGTTTTAAGTATTTTATATTTTTTGGTAGCAATAATTGCAATATATGGTATAAATGCATTACGTATGGTAATTATTATTTCTACAAATCACTTAGTATATATTTCATTTTTCAACTAGTTATTATTATTCACTAATTTCAAAAAATTAAAAAAAAAAAAGAATGATAAAAACAAAGTAAAAATATTTTCAATTATATATTGGCTT